AACTCTTAAAATATGACAATTCAAAAGGTTATATTAAATATATATACATATTATACATATATTCTGAATTATTTAATAATTTGACATAAAAAGAAACTTGTTTACAGTTGCAGGGAATCATGAATTTAAGAAGAATGACAGTACAAATTCCGTACAGTCGTCTCTGAAGTCTCATCCTTTGTGGATAATCCTGTAGCATAAAAGTCCAAATCAAGCCACATTCCAAACTTCCTGCCCGTACAGCTAATTTGATAAAAAGCGAAAATTTATCATTATATGAAATTATAAAGTAAGAAAGGATAAGTAAATGCAAATAAGATACGCACAAGGTTCGCAACCATACCCTTTGTCTGATCAGAAATATCTTTATTTTATTTTTAAAGAAAAAGATTGCTTTCTGTTCATATAGTTTCTCTGTCAAAGTGATATGAAGGTTTGTTCTGAAGAGACAGTGAGGGAGTATTTAAATTTTCAAGTATATATGCCCTACTCCATAAGGGTTTCTCAAACCCGTATCAAACCAGGTATATCTCAATGTTCTCAAACCCATATCAATCCAGGTATATCTCAATATTCTCAGACCCATATCAATCCAAGTATATCTCAATGTTCTCAAACCCATATCAATCCAGGGATAACTCAATATTCTCAGACCCGTATCAATCCAGGGATAACTCAATATTCTCAGACCCGTATCAATCCAGGGATAACTCAATGTTCTCAAACCCATATCAATCCAGGGATAACTCAATATTGTCAGACCCATATCAATCCAGGTATATCTCAATGTTCTCAAACCCATATCAATCCAGGGATTACTCAATATTCTCAGACCCATATCAATCCAGGTAAAACTCAACGGCATTGTACTATCAATGTCAAACCAAACACGATCTATCTTTACCAGGAACTATCAATGCCTCAACTTTGACACGATCTCTGAACTCTGAACTAGCCTCAACTCGGACATGATCTTATAAACTATCAATGCTGCAACTCCAACACGATCTTGTAAACTATCAATGCAATGCCGCAATTTGGACACAATCTCATAAACTATCAATGATTCAACTTGGACACAATCTCGTAAACTATCAATGCCTCACCTCTGACAAGATCTTGAGCTGTCTAAACGCCAACACAATCTCGTAAAATATCAATACCACAACTTGGGCACAATCTTGGGGTTTCTCATTCGCTAAACGAGGAACACTTACTCTTGTTTGGTAACCGTTCAAGAGTCTGTTTCAATTAATTATATTTGGTTTTTTATGTTACTTAATTTAAAGTTAATTGACGTAAATACAATTTTTATGTCTATATGTATATAACGTAGTTAAGCTAATCATGTTAAGTAGTTATAAGTTAATCACAATACAGGTTTAGACGTATTCACAGACGTAGCTAGACTAGGTTAATCACATTACAAGTTTTGCGTCGGTAATGATAAGCACATTTAGATTTACAGACAATGTACAGCGTAATATATCTAGGTATGTTCAGGTTAACAAATATGGGAGTGCTACGATATTTGCTACATATCTTCCTAATTGTTATTGATAGAGGTTTCAACAGTACTGTTGTGAATCGACCAAGCTACTCTTTGACCAGAGTCTAAAACTAAAGAATGAAATTAAATTTATAGCTTAAAAGCAGGGTTGCCAACTACCTCATGCAAAAAGATACCAACTTGATGGTCAAAAAACACAAAAAAACACAATTTTTACTCCTCAAATCTGAAATTACACAGATTTGTTCTTTGATAATCACGTGATTCATAACTTTATTTTCTTAAAATCCAAAAATAAGAAGAATAACACCAGAAAAACAACTAAATCTTGAAGTATAAAAACAACACGAGGTTACAACCTTGCTGAAGAAATCATACCTGGCAAGGTAAAAAAGCACCAAAAAGGTAAGATATGTATTTATTTATTTCTGATTATGGAGACAGATTTATTAACTGAAAGAACTTAAATTGTTTAATTAAATAATTTTCAGGGATTGAAATGTCGCAAAATTTAATGTGGGTGTTCCAAAATTTAATGTTCCCGGGTTTAAATTTAATCGATGAGTTAAATATTTAAACCCAGGGTTAAAATTCACGTGGTTTAAATTAAGTCAGAACTCAGAAGTGGCATTTAAGCTGAAACTTAACATTTTTAAGTCGTAACTTTTCATTCTTTAGTTTTAGACCCAGGTCATGTTTAAAATAACGTGTACAGTCCCTTCAGGAAAACAATAACATACCTCAAACAATTCTGCGTAAAGTCCATGGAAACAAAGTTGGCTGAATTCTATAGAAAATCAATGAAAATAGAACGTTTTCGTGCCAAAGATTGAGGCCTGAAAGTACATAGTTGTTGGCTAAATCTCAGTTAAATAATAGTCTGAAAATCTTCTAAATCTAGAGCTTGGTTTTTGATTGGAACAGAGGAGGTTTTATTCGCGGATTTTTGCAGTTTTTAATCAAATTTTAATCTGTAGTTACAAAACTTATATGAAACAGCTTTTTAAATAAGATGGGGGTTATATAATATCTTTTAGAAAGCGTCCCATATCATATAAGTTTTAACGCCAAAATACGCACATAATACTCGAAAAACCCTAGTATTTTCTGCATGCAAATATTTATATTAGCAATATACAATTTTTATAAATGTTTCGTTCTTTTTAAATTTTCTGATTAGTCCCGGAAATCGCAATTTAAAGCTATAACACGATCCAATATGATGTAGGACACCCTGTATAGTTTCCAAGAATTACAGACTATCGCAACTATTATTATTATTATTATTATTATTATTATTATTATTATTATTATTATTATTATTATTATTATTATTATTATTATTATTATTATTATTATTATTATTATTATTATTATTATTATTATTATTATTATATAACAATTATTATTATCATTATTATTATAATTGACTTTGCACTCATTAGTATGATATATTATATAAATGTTAAGTTTTTATTATTATTTACACTGTCTACTAAAATCTTGAAACTCTGCAGAAGAAAAAAGCTGAAGAATATAAGATAAACTACAATTTCAACACATCAGGTCCTGAAACAAATGATTTTAAATAATCGCACTTTAATGAATTACATCTTCAGGGACCAGGGACCAGATTTAATGAATAACGAGACATGGTTGAACTGCGTACACGTATTTCAATCACTTTTCTTCTGCTTTAACCGACTCACAAAAGAAGAGGCTTAACTACGTCTGCGTGGTTCAGCTTCTTCTCGCTTGTCATTAAATCTGAACCCATATTTAATGAAAGGTTAGAAAGTTAAACCGCAAAGAGTTAGTTGAACCAGTTCTTAAAAACTTGAACCGAACAAGAGAAGTGGCACATCAATGAAGTTCAACTGTTTCTTCCTTTTAACTAAATCTAATCAGCATATTTCTATATCATCAGAAAACATAGTTTAGTGAGCCATGCTTCGGATTGGGGAAACTACAGGGTGTTCCAACATCATTTCGGTTCATTTATGGCTCTGAATTGCGATTTTCGGGATTAATCAGAAAATTTTAAAAGAATGAATCATTTAAAAAAAATTGTATATTGAAATTGAAATAAAAATTTGCATACTAGATTTTTTTGAGTATTATGTGAGTTTTTCAGCTTTATATCTTGAAGATAATCCAATATGATATGGGACGCTCTGTACTTCTGTTTTACCGCCAAGATCAACTTAAACTGCATGGAGAGGTGGTTCTTTTTATCTCAGTGGTACAAGAGAATTATTGCTTAACTAATCAATCAAAAATTCCCAACTTTTGAGCATCTTTTCAAGTTTTGCTAACATTACAAATTAGGTTGTGCATCCATTAAAAATATTATATTATTACGAACTGATTAAAAATTTGAGTCTCTAGTCATGGGACAGAAGGTAGCAAGAGATGATCATTGATCATTATTTTATTCGTGCCTGGCCTTGTTTCTAGCGTGCCTGGAGTAAAGCGGAGTCAAGAATATGTTAGTTTTGCGTTGGAGTAAAGTGGAGTTAAGATCAATTATGTAAGTTTTACGTTGGAGTAAAGTGGAGTTAAGATCAATTATGTTAGTTTTACGTTGGAGTAAAGTGGAGTTAAGATCAATTATGTTAGTTTTACGTTGGAGTAAAGTGGAGTTAAGATCAATTATGTTAGTTTTACGTTGGAGTAAAGTGGAGTAAAGGTCAATTATGTTAGTTTTACGTTGGAGTAAAGTGGAGTTAAGATCAATTATGTTAGTTTTACGTTGGAGTAAAGTGGAGTTAAGATCAATTTTGTTAGTTTTGTTGGAGTAAAGTGGAGTTAAGATCAATTATGTTAGTTTTGTTGGAGTAAAGTGGAGTTAAGATCAATTTTGTTATCAATTATGTGGAATAAGTTGAATTCATTAAAATTATTTTTATATTTTATTCAGCACAGATTGTACAAGCAGTTTAATTATATTTATCACAGCCGGTCAAAGATCTAGAAATAAAATCAATGTGAGTAGACCTAAGGTGAAGGGTAGGGTTTATTTACTTAAATTATTGTGAGATTTTATTAAAAATTTAACTATTTTCCTTCAGATTTCTTTTGACATATTTTATGCAAATAATTTGCAAAAATTTCTTTGCAAAATTGTGCAATTCGTTTCCGAACCGAACCATATCCCCGTTCACTTAGTTCTACTCCTGATAAAGAAATCATAAACAATGTACAGTAGATGACAGCTAGCGATGGGAAATAGTTAGATTCGTTTTACAGAAACTTTATATTTAAAACCGATAAAAGGTTTTACGACAATCTGAGAAGGGTCAAACGATTTAAATTGTATTCTGTAGAAGTGTGCTTCTATCAAACATGCAAATTTGTTAACTTAAGTAAAAATATAAGGCAAAAAGAACCAAACCTATGGTTTTAAAAACCCCAAAAAAGAAGAATTTTTTTTTTCTACAGTAACAAATTTGCATGTTTGATATGAGCAAACTTTTACAAATTAAAGTTTTAAAATGTTGGAACTTTCTCATACAGTCCTAAAACCTTTTAAAAGTCTAAAAGCATTAAAAGTTTCTTTAAACAATTCTGGCCATTGCCCATCCCTTAGTACAGCACATTGCAGTACTGTACATACATACAAACCAGTTTACGAAGCAATTGTGCAAAAGTGAAAAACAAAAGCTTAATTAATTGAGTTGAAAACAAAATAATGATTGAATATCTGGCTTAAATATCATTGTCAAAAAAAGATAAAATTTTATGAATATTGTAAAAGAAAGTTCTAACTTGCTGTTAGTTTGCATTTGAATATGTCTGGAGTTGATAGAAATGTTGCCAATTTTGTTTTATAAAATTTGATTTTGGTTTTGGTAACTAATAAATTTTTAAAGTGTTGAGCAGAATCCGCAAGGTTACAATATTACAGTTTTTGTATTTTCAACGGATTGTCGACATTTTTTGTTTAAAACTTTTAACCTTTTTTTGCAGAAAAATGTGATTTATTTTTTTAATCTATTTTGGAGTTGTTTTTTTTAGAATCGGCAACAAAATTTGTAAATTTACAAACATCAAAATAAAGTTGCATTACCATTTTAATAATTTCACTCTTCCAGCAGAAATAGGGTTAAAATTAATATTCATATTTTTCTAATTAGGCTTATAGCTTGCAAAATAAGATTGGTAACTTTATAAGTGGTAACTCACGTTTTCAGATAATAATACAAAACTATACTTTTGATTAATTTTTTTTTATTACACAGTTTACTTAATTATACATGTTGTTTGATAATTTTCAGAATTGGTTTCCAATTAATTAACGTAAGTAGAGATTTTGTTTTAAAAGGAAGGGAGGGGAGTGAACAATTCTAATAAGTTTTAATTCGCGGAAAATGCAAACCTTCTGAGAGAGGGGGTGGGGTATTTTTTTAAATTCAAAGTGCACCGATGAAATTCAGTTTTGTACATGTTTCGTAGATTTTCACACTTTTTGAGCCAGGCCCTACTGAACCAGCCTTTGCAGAGCAGTGAGACATTTCCTGGTTTCTGTGCATTCTCGTTCAAGCTCAGCTACAACCTTCTGCTCATGTTCCAGTTTAGTTGTTGTTGTTCTTAGCTCATCCTAAACAATTCAATTCTAATGTAAAAGGGACTGTTCACGTAGTTTCAAGTGGCCCTCTCTAGATTTACAATAACATGCCAGAAAAATAATTGTACACATCAAAACTTTGTATCAAGGGTGATTTTTTTCTTAGCGAAATTTAATTGTGAATATATACTTCAGAAACAATTGAGGAAATTGCATAGAATTCAACACTTTTAGAGCTGTAAAAAACTATATCTTTCACATTATTGACTAGATAAAGAGAAAAAGAGTGGGGTTGTTAAGTAAACCCTTTTTTGTATGTGAGGTCCCTTTAAATGACAAAGACAGTCCCTTTAAAGGGAGTGTTTATAAAAAGTAAGAAATGTCTACGAAACCTCAGTAAAGGAAATGAGTCTTTGTCACAAACTCTGATTTTCTAATCACTATATCTTTGGAACCAAATGTTGTAGACCTTTGATATTTCAAACTATGAATTCTGTTAAATCAAATAATCAGAGTTTTAAATATCAAAGGTTTACAACATCGGGTTCTAAAGATATTGTGGTTTAAATATTTGATTTTGTTACAAAGACTCAATTCCTTTCCTATCTGATGATTCTTTCAAAGAAAAGTTTACATAGCTGTTAATAAAACAGATTTTATTAAAATACAGTCTTCCAATTATATTTTTCATATATTTTCATTTTTGATTATTTTTCCTACCTCAAGTTCTTTCTGAAGTTTATCCCGCTTAAATCTACAGTTTGCTGCATAGCCTCGGTTCTTCTTTGTTCTTCTTTTACTTTTAAGATTTGTTACTTGTTCTCTAGGCAGTCCTTTAGCCTGAATATAGGTCTAGGTCAATATTAAAGTTCAATTCTGCACTCTTCAAAATATACCCTAAAATACGAACACTTTTCTTCAAATTCGAAACTTCGTAAATCAAAGGATGATGATTGATTGATATTTATTTATATTATTATATCTGTAAAATAAAGCTCTTTGCTCATATATATTTATATGTCAGGTGGCCAAACGACTGAATCGAATCGGTTGAACATTTTTGAGGGAACCCTTGAGTACCCTGGGTAACATTTTTTAAAAATTTCAACTTAAAAAAAAAACAACGGGGAACGCCGGGCACTTTGCAGCTAGTATAGATATATATATATAATTACAAAAAATGTCAGTGTTTTCAAAATTTACTTTTGATTCCATGTTCACCCATTAACTGCAGTAGATTTGTGTTGCGTTTATAATTTTATATTGTTTTGCATGAGCTATACGCTTCAGACAATTAAGTATTTTTACTTATCAGAGTCATTTTCAATGTAGTTGGAGATCAAAATTATTTAATTGAGATTATTTTGATACAGCTAGAATGTTAGTTTCGCGAATTCATACGATTTGATAATTAAAAAGGGTTTCATGCCAAGGGTTAAAAGTTCTAAACAGAAACTTTTGAGCAATTAATCCATAATTACCTAACAGGATCTAGGATTTTTGAACAATTAATCCATAATTAGATAACAGGATCAAAGGCAAGGTATTTTGAACAATTAATCCATAAAAAGATAACAGGATCAAGGGTTTTTGAACAATTAATCCATAATTAGATAAAAGGATCTAGGGTTTTTGAACAATTAATCCATGATTACATAACAGGATCAAGGGTTTTTGAACCATTAATCCATAATTAGATAACAGGATCAAGGGTTTTTTAACAATTAATCCATAATTAGATAACAGGATCAAGAGTTTTTGAACAATTAATTCATAATTAGATAACAGGATCAAAGATTTTTTGAACAATTAATCCAAAATTAGATAACAGGATCAAAGATTTTTTGAACAATTAATCCAAAATTAGATACCAGGATCAAAGGTTTTTGAACAATTAATCCATAATTAGATAACAGGATCAAAGGTTTTTGAAATACAAAAATGAAGAAAAAAGAAGATAAGTTATAAGCTTCATCTTTGAAATAATTTGATAATCGTCTATTTGAACTTTAGTTTGTGGCTTAATCTGTAAGCATGTTCTCTTCGTACAATATAAAAAAATAAAAAAAAGTTCGCGTATTCATCATTGTTGTTTTGTGGATTTTCACAATTTATCAAACAAATTTTCGAAGACAAACTTTTGAAATTTTGAGCATCCATAGACCTTCTGTAGGGTCATGTGAGGTCCCACAAAAAATTTTGGCCCGATCGGTTTAGCCCTTTTGACGTTTATTGGATACACGCAAATACCCTAATGGACAAGCAAAGTTTATGCTATATATAGATAGGAAGAATCAATGTTGACCTTGATAATTTTGTTGAGCTCTCTGACTGGCATGGTAATCAGCTGTTCATGGGTCATCTCGAGCTGTTGGAGCAACATTCTCTCTTCTAGGTCACAGAAATCATCGCCTGGGCTCCTCAGTTCTAATCAATCAAATATTTTGAACTATAATCAATTGGATTTATTTATGATCAATCATAATTGATTGCTGATTAATCAGAATTTACTCATGATTAATCGTTTTTATACTTATAGAAAAAAAAACCTTTCCACTGAGGTAATTCACACATTGATATTGTCCAAACGATTCTTATATTAAAAATTTCTATTCAATCCGCATACCCTCTTATCGTCAATGACTTATCTTATTATATGCTTTTAATGTTCTACTACTTCATTGTTGCAATCTTCAATTTTTATGTTTTGCAGGATCCAAGTATCCTTAATTCCAAATTTTTAATTTAAAAAATGTATGTATTTAACCCTTATACAAATCTATCAAAAAAAAAAATGTAAACGAATTTGTCGTTAAGCTTTATTATTGAACATATTTAAACTATTTTGTACAATTTAAATAAGAAGACAATAAATATCTAGATCTTAAAAAAGATATTGTCCAAATCAAAAAATCCCTTTTAATTTTTAATTTAGCCAAGGAATAAAAAAACATACCTTCGTGTGATAGATCCATCAATCCCTTATTTGGGTAGTTTTCCTAAAAACAAACAATTCTCCAATATTTTTAAAAATCTTAAAATTAGATTAAATTATTTTGATTTAAGATACCTGAATATTTAAAATTTGATGTTGTTGCCACGCGCGATTACAGACTCCTTCGCCTCCTACCCCTCGATGTGCTCCTGCTGGTAGGTTTTGAGATCTCATTCTTGTCAAGCCATACTGGTTGAATCTTGTATTCTCCGGGGCAGGGTTTAATCTTGTATCCAGGTTGGATATCCTCGTCTCCAGGTGCAGGTTGGATATCCTCGCATCCAGATGGGGGTTGGACATCCTTGAATCCATGCTAGAGCTGGATATATCCATATTCAGGTTGGATACCCTTAAATCTTGGTTTGAATATGAGTATGCCGTGTACCCCCCTAAGCTATGGTCTGAACTACTACTGGAGTCACTGTTAGGACTAAAACTAGGCCCTCCTCCTCCTCCTCCAGGGTTATTGTTGCATCGGAACAGGCCTGGGTGCATATACTAAAACAAAATTAGAATTTTAAAAATTTGCAATAATTAGATTTTCAAAAGTGACTAAATTAAGCAGAGGTTACAGTTTTATTTGGCTTATCGCTTAACCCTATTCCTGCTGGGGGGGGGTCAATTTGACCCCCCCTGTAGTTTTTTTTACATAACTCAAAAAGTATTGGTCTGAGGCTGTTGAAATTTTCTGACTTTTCTTACATACCCATAGCCCTCCCTTTAGGCCTAAAACAGGGCTTTAATACTAACTGCCTGAGTCCTCAGGCACACTGCCTGAATGACTGCTTTTGCCTGTA